GATTATTTTTGTAGTCCCTATATATATGAGCACTTCTACTATGCTATATAGCATTGGTGCTTTAATGTACAACTCAAAGTTGTACCATAACATTAAATGTATAAGTTTAGGTTGTACCATAAAGCAATTTGTACCGTTATGTTATGGTACAACTTTACAACTTGAAATTGTACAATCACATAAAGGTACAAGTTCAAGTTGTACCATAAAAGAATTTGTACAAAATGTATAGGTACAATTTGAAGTTGTACCATAACGTAAATGTACAATTTTAAGTTGTACCATAAAAACAAAAACCTATAGCACCAATACTATATAGCATTGTAAAATTTCTCATATATATCTCCAAAGAGAAATCTCATCGAGAAGAACTGCTCCAACATGTATCGGGGAGCTAGCCCTAGCTAGCTAGATAGGATTGCCAATTTATGTCCGAGTCTGTTGCTGTACATGCACAAGAAAGCAACTTGCTTATCGTCACCCGGCCAGCAGAAAATTGCGTACCCATCAATCGATCGGCTATATATATACAACCAGCTGCCTATTTCTTACTGGCCTTTTCTCTGTGTCTCCATACACGACGATATACGTCCACGAAACAGACTCCATACACATACAGTCACAGATACATGTAGAATTAATTAGTATATATGCTACTTTCTTACGTTAAAAAAAGTGTCTGCAGGCTTTTATGTTAAGCGAGGTACTGAATTCATTGAATATTCCGTTCAATTATTCTTCGGAAAAAGGAGGGTTAGACTGTATCTAGGGTCTGCTGCCTGCAAAACTGATGATAGTGGGCCGGCCACTTTACTCGATCTCGCTAATTCTTTTGTACTAATATATTCGTTTTCTAATAAGCATGGTGGCGTATAACTTTCAGAGCTGTGAAATTCCTGACTTGCATGCATTGGAACAACTCTGCTTGGCAAAGAATATCTATTTGTAGGCATTACCCTCTTGGATTAATTATTGGGGAATGGAGCATGCTTTTTGTTGGATTAAATTATTGATAATTATAAAACCTAGAATCAGCTCTGAAATCCAAAGATCTGCCCCAGCATGTTATTTTATATATACCCAACAAAGTTCTATTTCCTATTCATAGGAAAAATTTTAAATTTAAATTCTCAAACAAGTTAAATTGTCTCCCACATTACTGATGATGATATCAGATTTTTGTAGGCCTTTATGCTGACGATCCTAGCTAGCTTTCAGATTGCTACACATGAAAATAATATAGTACAGGAACATAAGTACAAGTTCTATGGAAATAAACGGGTAACGTTTGTTATTATAACTTAAATAAATTGATCGTCCGGAGTAGTGGAATCGCCTGTCAATTGCAACAACGATGATTTGTTTGTTTGGGTGGTTAGAAGTGAACCAAACGATTGTTATCGGTCATATGCTGAACCCCCTATGATTTAAATGTTTCATCGGTTGCTCTCTACATCTAACCCTAATTTGTCTACCAAATAAGGGCTCTATATATAACTGATTCGCCAATTTTTATGTGGAGATTGACTATTGGGACATAAATTATTATATTTTCTAGTTTAATATCCACATTTGTATTTAATTATTGGGAGCACTAGTAATATAAATATACAACAAATTAAATATACACGAGCGACTCAAAATTCGCATGCACAGGCATAAATCAACCTTGAGATCAATACTCATCGACAAAGAGGGAAAATCATGCATAGGTCCTTGTAGAAATAATTAAGTATGTCAACCCCTTAACCACTTACTTAAATCACTTTTTCCACCATCAAATCCGGCTAGTAGAATTGACTAATGTGTTCATCAAAAGTGAAAAAAGAAAAAATATAACGTGCATAGTCTTACGATTTTGACGAAAATCTACACATTCTTTACGTCCTCCGTTGATTCATAGACGTCATATATCTAGAATATGTATACATGTGCAGCCTGCAGTGTGTCAAAGTCTGTCAACTAACTCCAACAACCACATGACCATTGCTCCATCTATCTAACGAACATCTAATCATCCTTAATATGATTTTTATTGTTAAAAATGTGTCGGAAAACATCATTTGTGATTTTGGTCTCACAACTGTAAATAACTATATCCTTTTTCCGTCGAGAAAAACCCTCTATATCGCCTACTATATATGTGCTAGTAATTCTAGTTAGCCTGTGGAAATTAAATTATAATGCTTTTTATTTACCTTGCCCGAGTGGATCGGCAAGCTACTGGGATCGTTAATTAGTCAATTTAAGTCGATGGCTTTACTTGTTTGCCTTTCCTATCCAACCGATGGAAGAAATTGTGTTAATAATTGGTGGTAATGTGTGTATATTCATTTTAAGATATCATCCGAGTTGCTGAAAAAGCTCAAAGTTGAGTTTCGTATTTTTTCATTTAATTTTCAAGCATATCTAGACCCTCAAATCTGGATTGAAAGCGGGTTTTCCTTTTATATTTAATTGATATTTTTGCCTATGCTTGTAATCATCTAATTATTTATTGTGGTAACCAAATTTCATCCATTCAATCAATGGTTTAGTTGAAATAAATTTTTTCATAAAATAGTTTGACTACAACACTTTCATAAATTTTAAGTAGTGGCTTAATTATTTTGGAAGGCTTGGATAATCCGTTTGTTTGATTGGTACATAAAAAAAAAGTTATCTCTTCAACCATCATATGTTTTATGTAATGTATTATGTATGTTATAAATTATCATAAAATGGTGTTACATAATCATCTGTAATGTATGGTCTAAAAATAAAATTAAGTTATGGATAAGTCATTTGACTAAAATATTATGTAAGATTCACATATCTTAAGTAATTTTTAATTTCCATAATGAAAATTGGTAAGATGTTGAATATAGTAAGTAATAATAAAGGAATTTTAGTTAATAATATGTTAATAAATTTATGAAAAGTATCACTTTTAACTAAATTGTTATATAAAAACAACTGACTTTACAAATCTTGCGTGTAATGCAAATTGATGATATCGTCAAAAATTTGTTTGATAATTTATAAATTTGCATTCAATTATATCATTAAAGGATTAAGTAATATGTTTGTTTAATTGATAAACAAAAAATTATTGTCCTTCCATAGTCATTGCAGATTTTACGTTCGTAATATTGAATGAAAAATTACCGTTATAATTGATACATAAGAAATATTTCTCAATCTACTACCGTTAAAACCGAATTGGGGCACGCGGGCATCAATTGGACTTTATGGCGAGCATAAGAACTAATTTGGGTGCGCACCCCAATTCGGCTTATTGCCGCCCCAATTGGTCTTTATCTAATATCAACAGTAGATTGGAAAATATGTTTCGATTTGCCGTATTTTGGGTAATTGTTTTTTTAAATTGCAATATTTACGTAAAAAATCCCTTTCTAAGTAACATTTCACATACCAACGGTGTGGGAGCTAGGTGGTAGCAAGGAAAATGAAATCAGTTCAATAAAGGCATATTTTAATTTCGGACACTATGATTATTACCAGTTCAATTCTTACTCCTTTTAACCATACATAAAAAGAAAATTAAATATCCAAAAGATGTCCAGAATGGTTTACTATAATAACACATGAAAAATACGAATTGCATGAAATACCTTGTTCACCAATGTTTCAACTAATTAAAAAAAAATGTTACTTCTCTTTTTTTTTTTTTTTTTTGAAACAGGGGGCCAATATATCTACATGTGTCGACATGACAGTGGATACTCATTAGCAAGAAATGTGTTTCTGGCAAGTTATTATTGGAGGATGCTCAACTTTTTTTTTTTTTTTTTTTGCCTTAGTCAGATAGGATGCTCAAATTTCTTGCGAGATGACTTTTGTTAAGTAGCCTAGCTAGGCCCTGGTCTAGCCTAGCCTAGGGCTATGACTGTATATACGATCTCAAGTCTAAGTATTGGAATATCTCTTGCTTGATTATTATAAACGTTGCACCAAGTAAGTAGTCTAACAAATGCAACTATAAATTTTTGCTTATATATATGTACACAGAGTTGTCTATACTCTATAGTAGTATAGTTGGCCGCGACAGCATGTTTTTTAACAAATTAAACAATTATGTGCTATGGCATAGTTCTGACAATATCACTGATTCAACCTTCCTGTAAAATAAATTCTCAATTTAGGATGGCGATTTCAACCAACCTCTTATTGATCACAATTTGCTTTGACCAGTTTTATTGTAGTGTATATCGTTTAACTTGTATTTATTATTTCAAGAAAAATAGCTAGCCTATTTTTTCCTAAATAGTTCTAGGGATGAAAATTGAATTCAACCTATCGGAAATTACTCGCTCTGATCTACGTTGTGGAAGTTATTACTTATACTGTAGTAGCTTTGACCGAGGTGCGGTTGCTGCTTCCGATTTGTCCGGTCATGTTCCTGTTTTGTTCTATTTTGATTTTTCTCAGCATCCATCAGTATTTCTTTCGTTTTGATTCTTCATAAAACATACCTAATGGGACTTCTAAATAGGTGCATGCAAGACTTCATTTTTCAATTGATTTGAATCAATTACTCATTTTCTTAACTTTATTTTTAATTTATGCAGTGTTTTATTTTATTTTATCATAGAATTAGATGTTTATTTATTTTTCTTGAAATAACATGTGAAAATGAGTTGACCTACTGATTGATTGCTGCAAGAGTTACTTACTTGATTAGGTACAATTATATTGCTATTTGGTTATACAAATGATTCATTGTTTTTCCACATCCGTGGGGGAGATATGAATTCATTCTAACTACTCCATTTATATGAGGAGTTGTTGTTATAGCAACCCAACCCTATGACACATTTTATATTGAAATGTGTTGAAGTTGGAACTGTGTTCCTTCTTCCATGAATTGAAGGATTTAAACTCTGCATACCATATTTCTCATCAAATATTTATTTGTTCATTGCTAGAGGTAGAATTTGAACATGACACTTCAATATAACGTAACATCATTAATAAATTGTTCAAAATAAAGAAATTATTCGAAACGTCTCAAGTTATTGAAAACATGGGTGTATATAATGAAAGTACATGATATCTATCTGGCGGCATTAAGCATTAATTTGGTGAGGTAGATGATATGATCACATCGTTAATTTTTTTTTGTTTTACAACGAATGACTTGGGATCAATATTGATCAATTGTCCATCAGATTCTTGTAATTAAATTATGAAAATAGCACACAGGGAACTAAAGAACATTGTCATAAAAAAAGAAATATACAACAAAGAACCGGAAATATATAGAGCTCATCCGCATTAGAAAACAGCCCAAATTAAACCGCAAGAAGGATCGGAGCTTATTAATTAGGGTTTAACATTCCCTCAGATATAAAAGCAACAGTGAACCCCCATCACCAAATAGCAATATTTTTAGTTTCAAGTAATTTACACCCCCGAACACAATAGGATCGACCATGAATACAATAACTGTAAATAAACTTAATTACTGAAAAGTGAATGAACAAGTAAATAAATTTTGTTACATGGATCCTCCTGCTTGTTGTGGGTACGGCCTCAGCTCATCAAAAGCATTATGATAACCCCCCTGAAATGGGGAATGATTAATGTTGTGTTCATCATAAACCAACTGATCGGACGGTTCACCGTTGGACATGATGCCTTGCTGCTCGCCGGATAACAGAAACTCCAGCCCGTACTCTAGCCTTTCGTGGTCGGCGTCTTCACCATCATCACGATGACTAGTAGTATTCCCTTGCAGCATCTCGAGCAGCACCCCGCCGTCGTCCATGTTGCAGTAGTGGTGGCGCCCTAGTGCTTCCGAACCCTCCAAGGAAGCTGAAGCTGCTTGGAATAGTGGGACGGTGGTGGTCTCGGGTACTATTAGTTGGTGTTGGTGGTGAGAGGTGGAGCAGTTTGAGAATCTGCCGCCGAGCTTGATGAGGAGCTTGCGGATGGAGGCGTGGTCGTTGAGGCGGGGCTCCTCGCTGGAGTATGGTATTGGAGGCAGTGCGGCTGTGGCTGCCGTGGGCCAGTAGTGATGGTGTGGGAGGTCAACCACCAAACTGTCGTGAACGGTGGTAGTACTATTATCTGAAGAATCAGGTGCAGCTAATTGGGAGCTGATGGGGGCGGCGGCTAGGTCGTGTTGATGGTTTGGAGGTGCAGCGGTGGTGGTATTAGTGGATTTGAGGCGGCGGTGGTGGTGGTGGTCTTTGCGCTGCTGCTTGCCCAGCAGCTTCTTCTTCAGCCGGGTGTTCCAGTAGTTCTTTATGTCGTTGTCCGTCCTCCCCGGCAGTTGTGCCGCTATTATCGACCATCTGCATCCATCCATCCATACACAGACATCAGATTCATAGTCACAACTTGGTTTTCCTTACAACAACCAAATGACGACATGGTACAAGGATCTTCAAGTGTTGTTTGTAAGAGAGATCTTTTACTGCTAGCTAGCTAGGTCAACTCAGATGGTTTTAGGACACAAGGATTCGATATAAAGTGATGTAAGTTGTCGATCTAGCTAGCTATGAAACCAAACTGATTAGGTTACAGATGTGCAGAGGCTGCAAAGATATATATATAGTGTGTGTGTACCTGCTGCCGATGCTGATGTAGAGGCTGCAGATGAGGTTGTCTTCTTCCTCGGAGAAGCCACCGTGTTTGATGTTTGGTCGGAGGTAGTTTAGCCATCTCAGCCGGCAGCTCTTCCCACATCTCTTCAGCCCTGCACACGCAGTACCAGAGTAGAATAAATTGGCTAACCCTAGCTAGGGATCCCATCATCTACTGGAGAGGGAAAAAAAGGTTAGTGAAAGAGAGAGAGAGAGAGAGAGATAGTTAGCAGACCGATCTTCTGAGGAAGGGCGATCCAGTTGCCGCCGGTGCCGTTGTGGTCAATATAGGACTTGAGCTTGGCGTCTTCTTCCGGTGACCATGGCCCTTTCTTCACGTTTGCTTTGTCGCAGCAAGGTGCCCTCCCCATCCCTTTTTATGTTTGGCCCTGCACCCAGCTCCTTTCTCCTTTTTCTCAACCGTACCTTTTTGGTTCTCTGAACCAATCTCTCACTTGAGCAAAGCTAGGTAGGTGGTACGTATGGCTAACCTCTGAACTGAAGGGCTGGCTAATGAATGATGTTGTTTGTTTCTGTGTTTGGAATTGGTTCAGTGAAGAGAGATAACTGGTGATAATAATTATGAGAGAGACAAAGCCACAGGGTGATGGAAGGCTAGATAATATAATAATAATACGGGGGGATTAACAGTGGGTGGTGGGTCCAAGAGAAAGCAGACTTGACCTTTTTTTCCTTATAAAAAATGAAAAGCGGAGAAGGAGGGTTGGCGCAAAAAGGGAAGTGTCCTTTGCGCCTTAGAATAATAATTCGAGAGAATGGAATTCCAGTACTAATGGTGTTTTTATCTCCTTGTCATTCTCTTCCATCCTTCCTCCAGAATCTCAATTCCCAACCCAACCCATTACAGGCAAATGCGGTACTCATCCTTATTCATACAACTCATTCCCACACATAGTATCTATATGTGTTAGAGTGAGAGGACCTTTTTGTAATATGGCTAATGGAATGGATAAGTTCAATCAAGTGAAGTGGTCGTCTGTTTATGGCTCTCACTATTTGTTTCATTTCGGAATATGGATGCTTCGTATATGCAGGCGCGCAGTTATTCGAGTTTAATTAGGCGGAAATGAGTATATCTCGTTGTATAACCAACTGGCAAATGGGACATATATATGCTCCCTGCAACCTGGATATATGTTCACTTATCAAGGCGTTGTTCACTTGTGGACATATATATATATATATATATTTACACGGATGATCACTTACGATTTCGTTTTGACTAATGTTTACTAAAATCTTGCTTGTAATCACCATTTACGTACGTCACCCTTGAAGAGTCTAGCTAGTAGCTGGTAATTAAATATAAATAAGTTTGGATGAAGCTTACCACCCAATCCACCTTAATTTTGACAATCTAAACACCGATTGACTTTTGTATACTTTGGGGCGGTTGAGTATGGAATATGGATAGTTACGTTGGTTAGACAATAGGCTTTTGTAAACAATCAGTTGATTTTAATAACTCACGTTAGGTTATCTAAAGAAGTTTAAATATAGATAACATATCGCTTATAATAATAAAATACGAGCATGTACACCACAGGCTTTCAATTTTCTTACCATGCCTATTTTACGATGATTTTTAATTCCACGACCATGATCAGATGGCAGCTAGGCAAGTAGGAGCTCCATCATTCTTGTAGGCTCATGAAACTGTATTCTTTGTTCCCTATCAGATGAAGGAGGGTTTGGAGCTCGACCCTAGAGTGCGTCCGAATTATCTAGTATACATTTCGTTATACCACAAACTATTTTACCAAGTATGTAGGTAACCTTTAATATGATTCTTTTAAGAAATAGCTTAGAAATATTTCTCACATTCTTCCACCATGGGTTGGAACCACCCGCACTCATTGTCATTCCTATCTCGAGGACATTTGAGTACCGCAATAAATATGTGCTATTTATTTAAACGAGAAGTGTAGTTTGTTTAGAAAATTTTCTAGTTTCGTCATACCTGTAACTAAACCTTATTTTAGATCGAGCTTTATTTGGATCAAATTGGTTTATGAAATATTAATTTTTAGTCATCAAGATACACTAATATTTTTTACAATAAGATACAATAACTCTGTGTATGATAATTGTTTCAATTATAAATTTAATTTTGCCAAATCATATGTGACTTCATATTTTTAGAATTAAAAAATTGCAAATTGATCTACGTGTATGCAAATTTACCTAGTCCGAAGACGAGGATCATATTTTCTAACCTTTCACAACCACTTACTCAGGTGACGAGATACAAGTTCTATGTTGGGACTTTTAGGGACGAGGGTATACGTACGATAGCCCGAAACCGGGTGACCAGGATTATGATAGAGTCTTGAACAAAGTTCACTTTCCGAAACGAATATTTCCACCCTCTACAAAGCCCTGGGTTACAAGAAATTTCTCTCGAGGATAAAACTATCACCACTTTAGGTTCTAGACTGAAGAACTCTAAAGCATACTTAGAAATTTTTGAAAGAAAGAAAAAGAATCTGTTTGATGATGTGTCTACCACTAGCCGATTCCATCTTTTATAGATACTAATACCAAGCATTGTCTCTGTTCACAAAAACCCGCCAACTTATGAAACATTGCATCGTTTCATTATTCATGTTGTCTGGTTAATTGCACCACACGTGCCATTATTTCGAGAAGAGGCGCCCTTTGAAACTTGTCCAAGGGACGTGTTCTTTCTACCAAAATGCAACGTCCTGGTGGTGGGCAAGTGCCACCCTTTGATTTAAATGAAACAAACAACTACATGGGCATGCAAACGAAGCAATGCCAATGCATGGACCATTTCATTTCATGTCAAATTCAAAGAGAAAGACACTTAATTAGTTGAGTGAATTTGGTGCAAGGTTTCAAAAAATCTCATGCCACCATCTCCAACAATCCTCCCCCATTTTAGTATATTCTACGAATTCACTAAAATTACAACATTCTTCCAACAAAACTTAAGCATAAATGAAAATGTCGTTACGATTGAATTTTCACCTAAGTATATTACACTTGACAAATATTCGAATACAAAGGGTGTCGGTAACTATTGAACCCATTGACTCATGTGAATATTCGAAGATAATATACACTTATGTTTTCGAAAACTTCTAAGCGCCTTGACACTATTACCGGCCATGTGTCCAATCCTTCTCATAAGCGCACACGAAACCAAAGTCCGGGTTTCTTGAAGGGGCTACACTTCATGCTTACGTAGGTTGAATCTCTTATTCATGTACCCACATAATACACTTTCTCATGCAGGGAAACAAGCACATACCTCGGGATGACAAATTGTGTGCTTCAATTTCTGATAATAAGTTTTCCACATTGAATTCTACCTTTAAATTTGTATTAGAGGGGAATTGGGTGTCCCATTACCAGAAATTATATGGACTTCAAACCATCTCTTTCACAGACTTGATCACCAAGTCACTAGTTAACCATTTCGTCAAATGATAAACCAATTTATTTCGAGTCTGGTCATTCTATCTAGACACAACTCTATGAATGATCAGTTCGCAGATTTTACCGTGCCTTACTCCCACATGGCAATACTTGTCATTTTCACTTGACTATATGTCTTAGCCAAATAAGCATTACTATCACAAAAGATAGTAATAGGTGAGATTGGTTTAGGCCATAAATATATGTCATAAACCAAACCTCTCAACAATTACGTCTCTTCTCTAAGAGAAACCAAGACCACACAAACTGTGATTCCATAGTGAAACTTTGTGATGCATGTTTGCTTTCTAGATGTCCAAAATATGGCACCTCTCCCAAGCAAGAGGGCCCATCTCAATGTTGAAGTATCACCTTTAACATGAGAAATCGAGCTAACATCCAAAAATCCTTCCAAAATTGATGGAAAGCCACTATAAGTCAATACAGTGTGCCTTTGACATATCCCAGTACACGCTTTACTTCATTTCAAATTATGAGAACTAGGATTCATCATGTACCAACTTAATTGTTCTATCGCATATGCAATATTTAGCATCATGCAAGTCATGCATACATCGAGCCCCTAATTTAACATGGAGTACTCCAGTTGTAAAATTGATTACCAGTATTAACCATAAGTTCCATACTTGTGGATCCATTGTCGTATTAACCCACGATAATTTTCACAATGGAATTTTAGCAAGCACCTTCTCATTGCAAAAAATAGAGAGAAGGGATCTTTTTGTCATTCCGCTTGATTTAATACAAACAATCACATTTTCCTCCCTCATGTCCCACTAGGGAAAATTCATATGAAAAAAATCCTTTCCATAAAGTCCACTTATCTTTGATGAGTCCCAATAATAAGCATATCATCTACATACAAACATATGATGACTCTATTACCAGAATCATCAAACATTGTATATGCACTTTTGTCTCCTTGGTTTAACATAAACCACTAAGACAAAACCACACCATCAAACCACTAGACAAATCTATATTTGTCTAGCACTTCGTAAACGTCGAATAGAGAATTAGACAAATTTACCATTGAGTATGTGACCTACCCAAAGGCAATTTTCATTCTTCTATCTCTCCATTTTACGAATCATTCTTCTTCTTCCTCATCTTCGAATCATCCCTCTTCCAAGTTACCATCCAGATATGGAATACACCATGAGACTAGTACAAAGAACACCCATCTTCTACTGCCATCGATGAAATACCCATCATCGAAAATTCTCATAATTCCATAGACCGAATCAGTTCTTGTAAAGAGCGGTTTAAGCCATCGTACCGGAAAATATTCTTTTCGATTGTTGGGAATTTTGGGGACGAGGGTATACGTACGATAGCCTGAAACCGGGTGACCAGGATTATGATAGAGTCGTGAACAAAGTTCACTTTCCGAAAAGAATATTTCCACCCTCTAGAAAGCCTTGGGTTACAGGAAATTTCTCCCGAGGATAAAAATATCACCACTTTAAGTTCTAGGCTCAAGAACTCTAAAGCATACTTAGAAATTTTTGGAAGAATGAAGAAGAATATATTTGATGGTGTGTCTACCACTAGCCGATTCCATCTTTTTATAGAGACTAATACCAAGCATTGTCTCGGAACCGCCAACTTATGAGACATTGCATCATTTCATCATTCATGGTGTCCGGTTAATTTCACCACACATGCCATTATTCGGAGAAGAGGCGCCCTTTGAAACTTGTCCAAGGGAGGTGTTCTTTGTACCAAAATGCAACGTCCTGGTGGTGGGCAAGTGTCACCCTTTGATTTTAATGAAACAAACCACTACATGGGCATGCAAACGAAGCAATGCCAATCCATGGACTATTTCATTTCATTTCATGTCAAATTCAAAGAGAAAGACACTTAATTAGTTGAGTGAATTTGGTGCAAGGTTTCAAAAAATCTCATGCCACCATCTCCAACATTCTATGTAGTTTAAAACAAGAATGGGGTCTCCAGGATTCGAACAAAAGACCTAATCACAGAATGCTTTGATATCATGTCAAAAACAAATTGGTACCAATAACTTGAGTTTTTGGGAGAGATTCAATTATGGATTATATACCACTTAGTAACAGGCTTCTCTAAATCGAAATTTCAAATTGATGATAATTGATGTCGATTATAGTGTCTCTAAAAAATATAGATTGCTTTAAATCTAGGATCGTATTTCCTAGGCCTCTCGTAGAATCCTCACTTCAAAAGCAAGGTATGGTTCTATAGAAGAAGAGGTCGGTTTAGGAGGTTCAGGTGCCCCCGGTTTTGGAGAACGTAGGAGTTCAAAATGTAAAGCAATCCAGAAATGCAAATCCTAACCATGTGTCCGCCTATGTCTCCTAACCATGCGTCCTCGATGATCGGTAGCATAAGGGTTGTCAATTTCTTGTATCATTAGATCTCACCTTATGTCAAAGCATTTACCCAAACTAATGGGTGACAATGACCCTTAGAATTTCTTCCTTGAGGAGTCATGTCGTCCGATCGAATGAAGGTCAATAGAGTAGGAATGCTAGTTCTAGTCCCATCTTAAAAGACTAGTATGCTCAATCCTTGCACCTTGAAGGAGTGTGGATCTATTGTAAGCTC